CTGCTGCTCTGGATCCCTGGTGAGGACAGAGGGGATGAGGAGGGAGAAGGGGGACTGAGGAGAGCACTGGGCCCCCATTCTGCCCACCTATGATACATCCACATGAAAGATGTGTAGGTCTGTCCTCCTGGATGACACATGTGAGTTTGATCAATGGGACACAGAAGACCCAAAAGAGGCAAAGATTGGGTCCTGTTACATTGCCATAAAGAAATAGGAGGAGGATGTAGATGAATTCCAGAGAGGCTGCTATACCTTAGAAAGTTTGTGTCCTTTTTAAAAATTGAATACTTTTGCTGAATAAATTAAAAGTAATTTATTTGAAATAAAGAAAAAAAATATACATATATCTCTTATTACTTTGACTTAACCCTGCATTTTTGTCATTATTTCAGGAACAACTGGAGATATTGTGCTGACTCAGTCTCCTCTCTCCGAGCCCATCACCCCTGGAGAGTCAGCCTCTATCTCCTGCAGGGCCAGTCAGAGCCTCCGACACAGTGATGGAAAGACATACTTGTATTGGTTTGTGCACAGGCCAGGCCAGGCTCCACAGAGCCTAATATATCAGGTTTCCAACAGGGACACTGGGGTCCCAGACAGGTTCAGTGGCAGTGGATCAGGGACAGACTTCACACTGAGAATCAGCAGGGTGGAGCCTGAGGATGCTGGGGTGTATTACTGCTGGCAACTTACACAAGCTCCTCCCACAGTGGTGCAGCCCTGAACAAAAACCTCCCTGCCTGGGTGGCCCAGCTGCCACCTGTGCTGCAGATCTGGGCAGCAGCTCAGCAGATTCTCTGCCCTGTGAGAGAAAGGTGCTGGGAACTCAGGGAACAGGTGCAGCTGAGGGCTGTGGACCATGACTTCCTGGGCCACAGCTCAGGCCATCCATGAGTGGCCCTGTCAGCTGTAGCAGCCTGGCCTGACATGTGGAGGTCAGCACAGAGGTGTCCAGGGACCTTCTGAATGAGCAGACAGGATGAACATGGACACTGCAGGAAGAGGAGGACCTGGGCCCTGGGCAAGACCACAGGTAGTGGGTACATGTAGAAAAATGATAGAGGTCCTTTGTGTTTCCAAAAGCTGTTCCTTATGAAATTGGGATTCAATCCTAATCACATAACCCATAAATGACTTAGCCTACAATAATTCATAAAAGGAAAACCACAGGAATGGCTTATTAAGTTGACACTCCATCTTGCCTTTCCCTTGTTATTCCAGAATCCAGCAGAGACACGGGGATGATACAGACTCAGTCACTCTTCCTGTCCCCTCTAGTTTGACTTTGTCCATCTTAGGAAGGATCAGAGTTGGAAAAGTCACTCATTAGTCTCCCAGAGGGAGGAAGGTTATCCCTACGGCCCTTCAGACTCTGGGTCTCTACTGCCTCCATGACTCCTAAAGGTCCTGGCTAGATGCCGCTCAGGTCATCTCACATGATCCCACTCAGAGCAACAGGGCACAGATGAGCTTCCAAAAGCAGGTCCTGCTCCCCTCAGATGCTTTTGGATGAAGTAACAAAGATGGTCACTCAGAAGAGCCTTTTGGTCAAGGGAAAAAATGATATTGACCTAAAAGCAGAGCTGGGTGGGAAGGGCAGCAGGAGATGCTGTGGGAGCCCATTTGCAAACCACTGGGCACAGAAACCCCAAGCAGGTAGCATCTTGTGCAGAGTCCCAGGGGAATGGGGGAGGTCCCCTCTGCTTTGTGACCTACCGTCTTTCTCCTCCCTGACCACAGCACATGTCCAGGGAAAACCCCAGGCTGGTTTTGAGGGCACAGCTCCTGTTCCATTTGTTAAGCAGGCTCCACACTACTACCCAGGTCACACTTTTCCACATGATCCACCATTAGTCTACTTCTGCAACACACACTTGCCATATTTTTTAAAGAAATGTGAGGTAACAGTCCCTGCAAGAGTACAAATGCCTGTATAAATAACAAGGTATCATGAGGAAAAACAATAATTAGGAAACTGATTAATTCAACAAAATCAAGAAAGTAGGGAAATGGACCATAAGACAGATGGGCAAATAGAATCAATAAATGAAAAGATACCACATTTAGATCCAGCATTGCCCATAATTTCCCTACATTTTAAGTATAATTTTAGAAATATGAACATCACTGGAATCAAAGCTGCATAATGGATATACAATATGCACTTCAGGTAAGAGTGCAAGGTGACTGACTGTCAATAAAGACCAAAGCTCACACCATACCTAGACCCACTAAGGACATCGGCTTGGACCTCAAGCAGGAGACAACAGGGACACCTCGTGACAGAAGAAGGTAAGGGCACCAGGAATCTCTTCCAGTGTTGAGCCAGGTGGTCACAGATGGACCCCGATGCTGGCCAGAAATAGCAGAGCATTCCAGCCAGCAGGTAGGAGCCACCTCCAGCAAAGCCTGAGCCAACGAAAACTCAACACCTCCTCTGGAGCCCACCAGAGAAGCGAGGTCCCAGGGCCAGCAATTGCCCAAGACTAGGGAGAAAGAGGACAGATGCAGAGAATCACAATCAATAGGACAGGAGCCTCTAAGAAACAGGGACAGAGGCAGGAAACCTGAACTGTAATTGACAAGTGGCTGGAGGCTCAACCTGGACACTGGGAGAGTTACAAA